GCGGCGGCAGCCCTTAAATAAGGTTATATAGGGGATATGGGGGGAATCATTCTTCTAAAGGAGGGTGTAAAGGGGGAATATAGGGACTATATAAGGAGGATGGAAAAGAACATGGAAACTACTATTAAGGGTTGTTGGGGGCTTCCTTCCAATGGTAGGGTCTAGGATAGTATATCATAGTATATTAGGAGTTCTCTAGGGATAATGGAAAATGGAAACTACTATAATGCGTATATTTAGGATTTAGAGTTTAAAGGGAAGGTTTAAGGTGGAACATAAGGACTGTATAGGGATAATGGAAAGAAAAGTGGAAACTACCATTTAGGGTTCAGGGTTTAGGGCTTAAGGGTTTACGGTTTAGGATCACCAGGCAACATTTTTGGGAGTGCCCAGCGTGGTATGCCCAAAGATCTCTCAGAGAGATACCCCAAAAATTCAGCCTCGTCCAACCTTCACTAGGAGGTTCTCTGCGCGATCTTTTTCATGCACTTCTGGGTGCTTCACTCTCGAACAGGAATTCCCCAATGGAAATTAGACTCCGGGTCTCGGGATACCATCTGGCTGCCAGAATAACTGCTGATAGCTGAGAAGGCTAGACTTCCCCCTTCCTGCTCCTGTACTTCCCTTGTCGGTTGGAAGGGCTCCAGCTGCAAAGGAGACCTGAAACCTAAAACCCCGGCTCCTACATCCTAAACTCTAAACTTCAAACTGCACATTGCTCAGGCCGCCCTAGGAATATACAATACAGGGAAATGTAAAGATTAGATGCTGAGGGTGCCTTCGGCCCAGAAGACTTTCAGTTCTGAAGAGAACGTCCAGACTTGAGTTCAATAGAAAAATCCTTACATGAAACACAAAACTGGAAGGTTTCTGAGGCCCCGGGTACGAGGCATGAAGCTCCGATATCTGGGGAACCCTACCGCCTTTTTCTGCACTTGGCCAGTACACCCGAAACTTCAAATCCTACAACCCTGAACACCTCGACCCTGACTCTTACCTGGACAACAAAAGAAGGCGAAGTATGGTAAAGTAATGGCACCCAGCCACAAAATGAAGAACAAAAGGCATGATTCTACATAATTGTGGGGTTCAGGCAGGGTCTAGGGTTTGGGGTCGCGCACCCTAGACTGCAAGCAATTTGTAAAGAACCGCCTCCTTTCGGGCCTCCGATCCGGCTCTGGTCGCTCTGGTGGAGGCACAGTCCTCAACCAGTGGGTAAATATGCCCCCCGATATTCAAAGTCCCTTGTGGAAAATATCGCATATGGAGTCCTTAATATTCACATTAGGCGAGTAGGGGCCCTGGGTAGATGTCGCTTGAGTCCAGGACTCGTGGGCTGAGGGCTTAGGATGGAAACCAGGTAGGTGGATTCTGAAATGTGGGCCCGTCATTTGCAGTCCATGAAGCAACTGAGAGCAGGTTATAACCTGCCAACCGGGACCTACCAGCCAAATCTTGCGTAAGAAGATCGATGAAAAATGAAAGGATATCGGGAAGGATATGCAGGACCGTGCCCACAAACCAGGGTGCAAAAAGCATTCTGTTCACACCCTTTGAAAAATGCTTGCACCATCTAGTCATACCAGTCATCGACACAATGAGGGGAGCAACTCGAATGAGACGTTTCTTACAGATGAGGCCGCCTGCACACCTCTCAAATAAAGTCGCTTTCATGAAGAACCCAAGTAAGTGTTCAGAATTCGAGAAACCACGAAACATGTTGCTCAACACCGGCCAAGGTGCAGGCTTTGTGCCGGCTTGGGAATCTCCACAAGGCCGCTGCTACTGCTGCTCTTTCCAGGGTGCGCCAGGGCAAGCCTGCGTCTCCCCCAAACCCTAGTAGAAATGCAATAGAGCATCACAAAGCTGAGGCCGTCAGTATGAATGTGGTTGAAAAAAAGCAAGGAAAACATCATAGCAAAGAACTAGAAGCAGGGAAGAAGTCACGAATCTGTCTGCTCGGCTGCTTTCCCTCAGTCCCACCGCAGCGCCACCTTCTGATTGCTGTTGCGGCCGCCAAAAATGAAGCTAGACGTTTATTATGTCTATGTTGCCTTGTGGCTCCAGGATTTCATGTTCTGCCTTTGTACAAATTGTCTCTACATGTTTTACCTTTGCGGCTGCAGGTCCAGACCTTCTCTCTTCGGCGACAGCTCCTTGTCCCTTCCTGGGTTGCTGTTAAGGAACTTAATCAAAGTTACTGCACTGGGGAAACCATGCTAATTACTCTATATGCCCATGATGGCCACTTAATTTAAGTTCCTTAACAGCAACCCAGCTTCTGAGGTGCTTCTCGCTCGGCGGAACGACGCCGTCTGCGTAGAGGCACCGCTCAATACCCGCTGTGCCCTGGCGCTGGCCAACTTCATCCAAATGCCTGCTTGGGGTTTGGGGTTTGGGTTCTAGGGCTGATCTTGGGGGCCTTTCGCCCATACAAGCTTGGCTTCTTGCAAGGATTTTGTGACTTGAGTTTGCATGAGATCTGTTAGGGGCCCGGTTTTAGTTAACGCCCAAGTGCCTGATGAGAAGGTCAGCTCGGTGGCAGGCATCCTGTTCCCAAGGCCTCAGCCTTTTCGATACTGAAGTAGGGCCCTCTTGTCGCATCACTGGCCCTACCAACATGTTCTCTTGGTGCATGCACTGAAGTAGACCGGCAGATGTATCTTCAGCGGGAGAATGCGCAACTAGAAGCCCGCCACGGGCTTCAACACTCATGGGATGTTGGTTTGCTGCTTGCTTAGGAGCATGCTCCTCACTGACCTTGTCTTGAAGATTTACAGAGCAAGCCTACCCTTGAATTACACAGGTTGTACAAGAGGAAAACTCTTCCCAAACCAGCCCTGGGACAGCTTCAGGTGCAAATTCCCATGGAATGTCAGGCCCTAGGTCAAGCACTTCCTCTGCGCTTGAGAAGACAGTATCCGCCGGCTCTGCAGGGAAGGCCTCGTTGAAGATTTCCTCACACACGCGGGACAGACAAGAAACATGTCAATCGTGTTTCTCCAAAGCTAAAAGGTTGTTTGGAGAACAAGGTATGCACTTCATCTTCTCGAAAAGCCCTAATTAAGTCCTGAACTTAGATCATTCTTGAACTCGTCAACTCCACACTCAGAACCATTCAGACCCTCGACGCCGAGACAAGCAACCCCTCCCCATTTCAACCTCCGGCCACGGGGCCGCAGTGCAAGCTACAACTTCGCGTTGCTCCTCAGGCTCCTTGCGCGATTTTCGGAACTCAAACTTGTAAATTACAAAGGCTCCACGAGTAGCTGATGTAGTTCCCTATGAGCCCCCATGTCAAAGAACTTTCTGCATGACCTTGAAGAAAAAAACCTGCAGCATATCACACCTGTACCAATAGCCTAGATCTTGTGAGGACTCATCGGCCACAGGAGAGTGCATCCCAAGATGTTCATTCTCCTCCTTATTACGCTAGTAACAACCCCAAGTCAGCATAAGTTCGTAGATGCTACGTTGTATGCTGCAAGCCTCTTCAAGAACATGACACGAGTCTCTCCGCCAGTGTTCTCTTCCGATGCATGCGAACCTACACACATGCAGACCTGCCAACTGAGGGGGGCAAGGCGCCCTGGGAGCGTGACATTTCATGACGCCCTTAATTTCAGGAATTAACAGAGGCTATGCGCTCAGAAGGTCTCGCCTTGGGGGTAGGGCACATAGCTATGGATTCACAAGTGCGCCGTGCAGAAAGTGATCATGCCAGAAAGGGGGGGGAGGACAAGAGATGAGCCGCACCCGTGAGGGAACCTGAAGATGAAAAGAATCATAGAGCATGTAACTGTTAAAGCTATAACCCTGATAAGGTGGGAGGACGACCCTACACACTGAACCCCGAAGCCCCAACCCTACACCTTGAGCTCAGTCGGCGCATGTGGAACGGATCCTCCACAAGTCCCATACAAGGCCACCTCCAACTCCTTCATTCCGAAGTTCAGTAAGGAACATGGCGTGACACAGTGGCTTCTTTGCCCCTTCCCAACTAAGCCTACGTAAGTAGATATAAGTAGCACTGGGGGCTTTGGGCGGGATGAGGGTCAAAACGTATGGGCCCCTAGCATCGCCTAGCGCAGGCCTTAAAACTTTGTAGCTACTTTACATGTATCCCGTTTGGCCCCGCGGCTCAAAAACAAGTGACGGGCCCAGCAAAGAGAGCTCCTGCTAAACCCTAAATCGATCCCTGAATGCTAAAGCCCCTATTCCAGGGTCTTAGGTTTCAGCATCCTCTTCCACAGCTTTCTCAGCCGTTGGGCGAATGAGTTGGTGAGATCCTTGGCTGGGTCGGTTGGGTTTGGGGGGTTTAGGGTTTGGGGTTCCAGTTTTTTGATGGAGACTAGACATGTCTGTTGTTGAGTTTGGGCAAATTCCACGTGAACCACGATTGGGGATGAGGTTCCCAGACCCCTGAGAGCCCTGGGAGGGTCTAGAAAGTAGAGCCCCCAATCTGGTACCCTGTTATACTACCATAGGGTATATCCTATGAACCCTTAAGGGGGATCTACTTTCTAGATCCTCCCAGAGGTCTGGGTTGGGGGTCATTCTAATTTGCCCCGTAAAGAAGTGTACCAAAAACTCGGCGTCAGAGTGGGTGTCATGGACGACCAGGAACCTGCAAAACTAGAGCCATATAACCCTAACATAACCCCAATAGTATCCCAATACGACCCCAATACAATCCCAATATAACCCTAATATAGCCCCAAACCTTCAGCAAACTCCAATTTCAACGATCTCCATCATGTGCATACTAGGTTGAATGTGGATTCCTCCAGGTCGCATAGGGCTTCTTCACGATATTCTTCCCGACCCATCTTCATAGTACACTGGCTAAAGGTTCAGACTGCCTCGCAGCATGCTGGTCTTGAAAAACACCTGACCTGCTGTCATACACTCCGAACAAACCATTAACCCTGACGAGCTCACAGAAAACTCTTCCTCACCCCAAGTAAGTATTTCCAACGGATTTTGCCGCCTTGTTCAAAAACCTGCCTAGCCACCAGGTGATGTCTCCACATCCCCACATGCTTCGGCAGCTTGAGCCATCCCATCATGCACGTCGGAGGACACTGGAGGTATACTCGACATGCTGCCTTGGGGTAGGCAAGCTGAGGGAGAACAGGCTACTGAGGGGGACTGTGGTCCGATCATGGGTTTGTGGCACATGGGCTATAATCTAAACTCCTGTACCCTTTTAATAACCGGGGACTGTATAATCTCCTATATACACCCTTTAAGGAGTTGAGACTATATGCAAGATTTTCTTGTTGGAACTCGCCCAAGCCGCTAGGGCTCTGCTCGAGCAAGACGGGATTCTGTTCTGCAGGTGCGGCTAGTTCGACATGGCCGTCAGGATCTTGGTCCATGCCAATGAGCTCGCCTTGCAAGCGCCCATCCAAACCTGGCCATTCTCCGCCAAGCACTTAAACAAAAATAAATATGTATAGAGCCTGAATTTCCAAAAGAAAATGATTGCTCCTAAAAAGTTACATTAAAGCAGTGGAAACAGGTGTTTCTTGTACAACACACACAAGTAGACCTTGCTGACAATGATCCTGGCAACTAGCCTGTGCCAGAATGGTGCGCAAATGCGCGCGCAGATTTTCAGGTCCGGGCTCATCTTGACACGGCTCTTGCCTGGCTGTTTTCATAACCCTTTACTACCCTTGACCCCCCAAGTTCCCTTGATTGTATAGGTAATTATAAATTTTATTTGAAGGTACTTGGGCTCTATGGAGCGTACTTGGGGCGTCTTGGGGGCCACCAATACTCATACATGCAGAATGTTTGATAAAATAACTCTTCAAGGAGCGGTCTGGGCTGCACAGGCATGTCTAAAGAAGGTGGACTTGAACCTGACGTTGTCGGACGAAAGCCCTGCAAACTGACGTCAGCGCTGAAGAAGGTCCCACCTGTTCCAATGCCGCCGCTGACACCACTTGCTGAGTTCGAGTACTGGAGACTGCTTTTGGAATGCAAAAAGCTGATAAATGATTGCGCTGGTGGTCGGCCAACGTGAAAAACTGAATGGATTGCTGCAGCCGCACGACATACCCAGTCTGATGGCCATGGTAATTCTTCAGCGCCCGGGGTGGGATTGCTTGAGCCTGTGTCCCAACCATGTCCAAGATCAACTAATTGTACGATGGCATTCCCGACAAATGCGCCGAATGGGCCCTGAGAGTGCACACATTGCTGCACAGAAGTCCACCGCATCAAACATGATGCAGCGGCAAGAAATACCTGGCGAACTGCGCGCACTGCGTCAATTGCATTCTGGGCTGTGTTCGGCCGGCTCCAAGCATGCTGACACTCCAGGGCAGCGATTTCGTGTGCGATTGCAAGGTACACAGATGCAGTATGGCTTGGCAACAAGCTTGATTCTACGCAGTCCCTTGACAACGGCTCGCCGCCTAAATCTGTTTGAAATCCTTCCGCCTTCATCCTTGCAATTAACTGCCCCACAACAGCGCAGCGCGGGCTGTCCAATACGGAAGCGGACAAGGATGCCTCCATTGCGTTGCAGATGCCCCAATACAACGCTGCCAACGAAGCCAACCGCTTTTCCAATTGGTGAGGTTCAGTAGGCAAATTCCAGCACGGTGGGGCTGTGCATGCTTTGCTCCTGCCAGTCCACAAGTCGAGAAAATACGATGAACCCTAAAATGATGCAGGAAGCGTTGAGAAGTCCTCGGAATTGCATCGCATATCGCGCTTACCTGCCTGTCAGGAGTTAGGCTAACATAGGCAGAAGCATGTGACAATTCTGGTTACGCGTGCCTCAGTGGTTTGCAACTGTTCTGCTAGTCACGTGGCCAACAACGGCACAACAGCACAGCTTCATGCGAGCGAAACAAATTCAGGTCCTGTGCGATGGCATGCGCCGCATGCATACCAGAACCCCAAGACAAGCTCATGCAAACTAATCCCATCAGTGTCCGGCAAAAAAAATCTCAGGTCGCGTGTAAAGATGTGTATATATATGTGTACATGTAGATTTTTTAAATTTCTAATTGTGCCTGTATACACATGCATTCATCGTCTTTCTTGCCTCATGCTCGTCGGCGTCCAGGACCATGTCTGCGAAAAGCATGTCTGCGGATGATGGCCCTGCAATCTGCAAGTGGTTGGCTCAGCGCTAAACTAATGTGGGAACATAACAATGCAAAGCAACATGTAATTACGAAGTAGCCACACCTACACATCGACACGTGATCAGTTTAAACAGAAGACACAGCCTTAGGAGTCTGCGCGGGCTGTTTTATCTAGGGTCTGTGTTCGACACAGAGCCGCCTTCAAGAACGATTTTTGTAGTTTCCCGCATACATGCGCTGGAGAAGCTCGAAACAATCTCAACAAGGATTGGGAACAGTTCCGGGCGGTTTCTGGGATAGTCTGGCAATAGTTTCAGTTTTTTCATACGTGATAAAATTATTGAAATACATCCTAGAATTTCTCCAATACTTATTGACTTTGAGTCCGTCCATTAGATATAGGACAACACACAAACAGACCATCGGAGCTCCTATGACACACCCCAAACATCCTACACTTGGAGGGCGGTTTAACTGGCAGATCTTTTCCAATACCGCAACATGTTGCAGCTTCCGGTGTGAACGACGTATACGACGTCACGACGATAGCCGTCCGCAACATTCCGCGACCCTTTCATCAAAATTCAACCCAGGCCACAGATACCCACTTTGGACCGTGCTAGCGGTGAGGCGGGAGATGGTGGGGCCTGTAAAAACTAATGTTGGACCCTCTTATGCATGGGGACCCGGTTTAATGTCAAGTTCCGGGGCTAATTCAGGATCCGGGGGTATGTTTAGGGACCCGCTTTAATGTCAAGTTTTGGGGGCCAAAATGGAAAAAACATAGGTTTGAC